GCTTCTCTAATCTTTTTGTATTCTATCTATTTGTTTTCTTTTTCTGACTTCTTCTGATTAACAAAAGCAAAAAAGGCCTCTAACACTAGCTTCCTCTATTCTTTTTCTATTCTATCTGTTTACTTTTTAAATATTATATGATTTTAAAAAAACATGCTACGTGTACTGCATTAAGCTAACTGAGACTTGTTATAGCACTTGCATAGCATTGCTCTTTTGTTGATTTTGATTGCTTCCATTGTCCTCATTTGTAAGTCGCTTTGGATAAAAGCGTCTGCTAAATGTCTAAATGTAAATGTAAATGTAATAAAAAACTATATGCAAAGATAATCAAAGGTCTTCCTTCATATAAAATTAAACTGCATTGTATTATATTATATTATATTATATTATTTATTACATTATATTATATTAAAAAAATATTAGTTTTCACAGCATTAAAGTAAATTGTATAGGCCTGTTTTATTATTATTTGTATTATTGTATTAAATAAAAACAGAAACCATAAAAACAAAAACAAATTAACAATATTAATAAAAAACTACAATAGTAAATCAATGAGACTAAAATCACACTGGATCAAACTACTTTTTTATGAATACTTTCCAGTATTGAATAATATATATTTTTTTTTTACCTGAACTCATCACAGCACAAAATCTGAATGCTTTCTGCTGCATTCATGTATTGCTGTCTTATAAATGTGTTGACATGAGGCAGCACAGGTTTTGTGAGAGTTGTACATGTCAGTAATGAATATTCTCTTCTCCTCAGGGGAAACCATACATGATAAGGCTCGTATCTGGCGAACACGACACGCTCTTCTGTCAGGACTTCATGACAAACTCCTCACAGGTACAAACACGAAACAAATAACATGTCAGTCAAAAAAAATATGCATGACAGTTTTAGTACTTTTGAAGAAGAGCCACATAATTTATCCTGTATTATGCAATACACTCTGTATTTTATACCGTAGAAGTTCTTTTAATCAAAGGGAAACACATTAAGCACATTAACATTTTGTATTTACACACTGCACATTTGTTCTTTTGATATTTTGATACAGTATCAATCTTTTACAGTATTCAAATGGTCAAATAGTGAAAATTTCATGACTGTATCCTTACTGGTTAAAATGTATTATTTTTCAACCACATATGTGTGCTGAATTGTGGTGTCAATTCAAAAATGTTAATTTACTGGGTCCAAAAAAATAATAGTCCTAAATGTTTGTCTAAAAAATGTAATTATGATGACTTTTGAGAATATTCTTTTCAAGAATTTGAATTCTTCCTAAGTGTTGTGTAGCGAATCAGCTCATGGGGAAATATGAATAATTAATCATAACTAGTTATAATTAATTATAAATATTTAGATCCGCTGTAGATATTTACTTGACCTCTCAGGGTCAACTGTCTGTCAATTCTAAGAACGTTAATTTCCTGGTTAAGGGAAATAACTTTCTTACTGTACAACTCTACACAGAGCCTGTTAAAGAACAGTCTTCAGAAAAAAGATAAGATTCTTGAGAAGTAGTAGGAATACAGAATATAAGTAAGAAAATTAGAATAAAATGGCAGTTAAGAAGATTTTTTTTTCTAAAAAAGTTTTATGAATTTTAGAAATGTTAACACAGCAAGATAAATCTTATTAACCCCATTAGAATGAATGGAAATTAAGTTTGACTTTATAACTCATGATTGCTCAAAAACAGTCCAAATTTATGAAACCTACATATTTATATCTAACAAAACAACATGAATGTTACTCTGAACATTTTAAGACTAAATAAATTCATTTTAATTGCATGCATTTCACTTTCAGATGAAAAAAGTGATTAATTTTTTCATGCTGCAGTGGTTCGTCAATAGACGCACATATTCATGTTTATCAACAAAATTCAGTCCAAAAGTGTGTGAGATATGGGGAAAGTATAAATATACACTGCTGTTCAAAAGTGTGGGATCAGTAAGATTTTTAATGTTTTTAAAAGACGTTTCTTATTCTCATCAAGGTTGCATTTATTTCATCAAAAATACAGAAAAAGCAGTTATCTTGTGATATATTATTACAATTTGAAATAATGGTTTTCTATTTTAATGATACTGTAAAATACAAATTATTTACGTGATGCAAAGCTGATTTTTCAACAACATTACTCCAGTCTTCAGTGTCACATGATCCTTCAGAAATCATTCGGATTCATTAACAATATGCTGATTTATTATCAATGTTGGAAACAGTTTTTGCTGCTTAATATTTTTTTGAACCTGTGATACTTTTTTTCAGGATTCTTTGATGAATAAAAAGTTAAAAAATAACAGCATTTATTCAAAATATAAATATTTTTTTAACAGTATAAGTCTTTACCATCACTTTTTGTTAATTTAACACATCCTTGTTAAAAAATAAATAAATAAATAAGTTCTTAAAAAAAAAAGAAGAAGAAAAAATTACTGACCCCAAACATTTGAATGGTAGTGTATATTATAACAAAATTTCATTTTTAAATAAATGCTGTTCTCTTGTATTTTTTTATTAATCAAAGAATCCTGTAAAAAGTATTATTTCCAGCACTGATAATAAATCAGCATATTAGAATGATTTCTGAAGGATCATGTGACACTGAAGACTGGAGTAATGATGCTGAAAATTCAGCTTTGCATCATAGGAATAAATTATGTTTTTAAGGATATTAAAATAGTAAACCATTATTTTAAATTGCAATAATATTTCATAATATTACAGTTTTTCCTGTATTTTTGATCAAATAAATGCAACTTTCATGAGCATAAGAGACGTCTTTAAAAATCTTTCTGATCCCAAACTTTTGAACGGTAGTGTATTTTACACTAAGTTTTTTTACACTAATTTAACTTCATAGCTAATTTTACAAAAAGTAGTTTTGACACTAATGGTACTCCATACATACCCAAATGACCCGAACACAAGTAGGGATGCAACGATACCATTTTTTCAGAACCGATCCGATACCGAAAATTCTAAGTATCTGCCAATTCCGATCCGATACCAGCACAGTTTTTTTTTTTTATCAATGTAGAATTTCTATACTTCTGTGTGTTGACCTGATCATCACTCTTTTGTGTGTTAAACACATTCTGCTAAATATAGTCAAGTTCATTTTAATGAAAAATAACAAATGAAACAATATATAATCATAATCTATGACAAAAATACTATCATAAACTAGGTTAGTGGATAATTCAGCAGCAAAAGATACTCTAGAAAAATCGTGGGTGCACAATGATTTTATAAAATCTAAACATTTAGTGAAACAACATTATTTAGTGGGGAACAAATAAAAGTTAATAAGTAAAGGACTAAATCTGGTAAAATGTTACACATTGCTCTTTGTATTGTTGTAAAATACATTCATGAAAAAAAGTAAATATATCAGAAAATGCCAGTATCGGAGCCAATACCGATACTGAGTATCAGTTCGATGCATCCCTAAACACAAGACATGTTATAGCTCTTGAAAAATAATTGAAAAAAAATCTGAAAAAAATAAATGGCGTGTATTTTGAGAGTCTAAAAGCGTTTGCAATGTTTCATTCCTTTACTAAAAACATTTTTTAGACATTTTTATACATCTCTTCCAGGTCAAAATGTCCTGAATGCATTATGAGGGTTAAAAATAAGGAAATGTGTTTCTGTCCTTCAGGTTCGGATGGACACCTGTATAAACGCGCCTCCTCTGATGTTTTCTACGATGACGATAACGACATGAAACCTGTGCATGAGATGCAAACGTCCTATACGAACGTCACCGCTGAATGTAGAGCGCGCCTGCAGGTCACAAGTGCAGGCGGCAGTCCTCTGAGCTCCCCGCGCCATCAAATGCATCCTATTGCATTGAGCCGAACTGCATTTCACCAATCAGAGGAGGCGATGGCATCTCCTGCCAAACCAGACGACATACTTCCTGCCGTGTCCATGCAGCCGCGTGTCACTTCCTGTCAGGGTGCGGCGTCACACGTGCCATCGAAGAGCTTCGGACCGGAGCAGCATCCAGACTGGCCCACAGAGAAGTGGCAAATATGGCAACTCCTGTCATCAGACAGCATAGACACACTTCCGGAGACTATGGTGTGAAACACGCAGCTTAAAGGGACAGTTCACCCAAAAATGAACTTACTGTCATCAAAAGAAGATATTTGAAGGACCCCATTGGCTTTCATTGAATGAGGCATTTCTCAAGATATTTTCTTTTATGTTCCACAGAAGAAGAAAAAGGCATACGGGTTTGGAATGAGTGAAGGATGACAGAATTATAATTTTTTGGGTGAACTGTCCCTTTAAGAACCTTTTAATTTGAAAGTCAATTTGAATTGAATTGGACGCAACACACAGAATGTTGGATTAGAATTTGAATTGGAATGAGAGGAAGCACCGCAAAATGTTAGTGCATTGTTTACAGATAATTTTATACAAATAATTATTGATATTAAAATTGTGGATGAATATTTTAATGTTTTACATTTAAGTTTGGGGTCATAATGATTTTTTTTTTTTTTTACAAAAATTAATAATTGTATTTATCTATGATGCATTAAATTGGTCAAAATTGACAGTAAAGACATAATGCTACAAAAGATTTATATCTCAAATAAATGCTGCTCTTTTGAACATTCAATTCATCTGTCAGTCCTGAAAAATAAAATGTATCACAGTTTCTACAAAAATATCAAATCTTTTCAGAATTAATAATAATCAGAAATGTACACACAGAATGTTGAATTAGAATTTGAATTGGAATGAGAGGAAGCACCACAAAATGTTAGCGCATTGTTTACAGATAATTGTATAAAAATAATTATTGATATTAAAATTTTGGATGAATATTTTAATGTTTTACATTTAAGTTTGGGGTCATTATGATTTTTTTTTTTTACAGAAATTAATAATTGTATTTATCTAGGATGCATTAAATTGCTCAAAATTGACAGTAAAGACATGTATAATGTTACAAAAGATTTCTATTTCAAA